TGGTGGCATTACCTGACAAGGCAAGTGAGGGAGTAGCGTATGCTTTCCTTGACAGAGTGCTTAGTCACTATGGTGCACCAGCTGAGGTGTTGACCGATCAGGGGACGGAGTTTCAGGTCTTGTGCGACAAGGCACTGATTGATCATCGGACCACGTCGCGAGATCATTCAGAGGCGGATGGTTTAGCTGAATGTGTTGTACAGACGGTGAAGAGAGCGTTGCGCAAGTATGGCCTGCAGAAAGGTCATCTTTTGGACTGGGATATCCAGTTACCGTGGTTGGCCATGGGATATCGGTTAAGTCGACAGGCATCCTTGGCTTCCTTCTCACCATATTTTCTATTGTATGGCCGAGATCCAGACTTGCCAACATCGATTCGTCGTGAGTCTAGCAAGGTGGTGAACCTTGATGACCCGAATATGTGGGTGAGAGTATGTTCTCAGCGTGCAGAGCTCTTTTGGAGAGTTATGCCTGCAGCGTTTGAGAATCTTGCGATTGCTCAACATAGAGATACGTTACGGTATGCAACCATTCGGGGAGGAGGTTATCGACCATCGATTCGTAGATTCCATGTGGGAGACTACGTCTATCTACAGCAGACTGCACCGACGACATTGGATGTGACGGCGGGACGAACAATCTTGCGGGTGCGGGAGGTGTTACCTTCTAGAGTTCTCTTGTTGGAGGATCGTGACGGCATTGTTTGGAAGGATCATGTGCGCAATTGTGCGCCATGCCACCTCCCAAACGTAGATGGCACTATGGATCCAAGCTTAGCGATAGTACGTGCTGGCTTGAGGAGCATGCTGTGTGGGTCAGCTGGTTAAGCAGCCCGTATGTTGTTGTGTGATAGGTGTTCTAAGGGATGACACATGTTGTGCCTGACTCCGCCTATCGATGTTATTCCGGCTGGACGATGGGTTTGTCCTCGATGTACTTCAGAGGGGTAGATGACTTGATCTTCACATGTTATGAATTGCAGATAGGCGACTAACGATGGGGCGACATAGCACCCGGCCTATTAGTTCGCGCACCCACGAAGTTGTATAGCATGTAGTTGTAGATAGGGCTACCTGGAAGTCAGAGGGACCTGACCGCCAACTATGGGGGCGAGTTGTGACATTTGAATGTGTACTCTCTCGCGCCTTATATGTGTGTATGTGTGCGTATGTGTATGTGAGTAGCATGTCAACGATGTAGAGTGTATGGCGATATGTATTCGCACGACAGCTGTCATGTAGTTTCGAGTCGGCTCACGTAGTCTGGGCACTTACTATATTTAGACGTGGAGATAGGGTTCGGGTTACGAGGGGTATACAGTCGCGGACGGCTCGAAGAACGTTGGTTCTTCGAGTCGAGCCTGGAAGCGTTGGGAGCGTAGAGCGACTTTCCCCTTTACGTCAACCTGGATTCTCCGAGTGTGGAGTGGGTTGGGCTTGACTCATGTTTGTGACGGTGACGGTTTGTTGCTGGTAGGGTAATCGACGGGAATTCCAGTGGGGAATCTCCCGTTCTTTTCAGTTGTGACATTTGAGTGTGTAGTCTCTCGCGCCTTATATGTGTGTATGTGTGCGTATGTGTATGTGAGTAGCATGTCAGCGATGTAGAGTGTATGGCGATATGTATTCGCACAACAACACTCCAAGGTATTGAAAATTCGTCACTCTTTCATATATGAAACAAGTCTCTACATATGAACTCTCCAAAATTGCTTTGGGAGTCTCTTCCCTACCTCTCTATATATACTATTTGAGAATATACCATAGTAACAAATGGTAATTCCTTTCTAATCTACTTTTACAAAGATAAACCATAGTAAGGTTGACTAGTTATCAATATGTGGCAACATGTCATTGGACTCCTAAACCTTCTAGATGTTTACTAATCCCTAGATTAAGATGGCGATATGCCATTTGTGCCTTTCCAACTTCTAGAACTTTCACTTTCCACTAAGTCAACATTAGACTTAGTCTAACCAATGGATTACTCCTTACTTTAGTCAAACCAATCAAAACTAAACATGAAGTCCAAAAGTCTTTTCTCTTGGAATCTAGACTTTTGTACAAGACAAAATAGAAGTGCTCACTCAAATCTTCTAGAACTTCTCTAGTTATTTCGCCAAGTATAGACATTATAGCTAAACTAACTAGACTTAGTCATAACTAGCTAGATTTAGTCATAACTATCCTAACCATGATTAACTCCTTGGCTAATTCTAGTTTTATTTCACACATGCAATATCCGATCTTACGGACCACATCCGACTGCTATCACAAAAAATGCAACCACGTCCAACTATAATCACGTCCATAGCAACCGTGGTAAACGCTGACCACGTTGTGAAGTAGACCTATACGCAACCTGGTTAGTCCGCAACGCCTTTAGTCCACGCCGTTTAGTACCCCTATTTAGTTTGCCTCGCGTTTAGTTCCCGCCGTTAAGAGGCTTCATCATGCGTCGAAAGTCCCCGCCGTTCGGGGGCCTCGAGGATGGATCCCCGCTGTTCGGGCTGCCTAAGGGGGCAAGAAGAGCCCCGCCATGTGAGAATGGGGGGTTGACATGCACGAGTGATGACAAGTTGTACGGTATTGTACACTCCTGTTAGAGTTCACCCCGCCGCGGGGTGTGGGAAAGCCCCGCCGCTCGAGAGGAGGAGTGAGGGCCGCTTCGGCCCTGCCTCGAAGGGCGGGAAGAGCCCAGTCCCTGCCCTAATGAGGAGAGAGGTTGTTTACCTTCACCGCTCACCAAATGTACTATATGCGCAGGTTATCGCCGCTTCCTCACCCGCTGCTCGGCCGCTTGCACATCATACTCTAAGCTCTCTCTTGGGTGCACGGCCCCACCCTCACAATCTAAAATGCGCAAATCCTTGACACCTCGCAGCAATAGACCACACAAGAACTTCTGATTTTGAAAAAACTGTCACCTGTACGAAGGAAAAATAAAATCTAATGAAACTATCATTGAAAAACACAATTCTTCTCGAAATTGTCAGTTTGTAAGCAGAGTTTCTTTTGATAAACCTTCAAACTTCTGTCATAAACGGAAAATAAAAGCGCGCCTGAAACAATATAGTTGCCAAAAAACTATGACAACTTCTGTCACAAACTTCGTCACTTTTGCCAGAAAACCGTCACTGACATAAATCTGTCAGAGAAACTTTAGTTTTCAATCTAACTAAGAACCGAGATCTGCTAACAGGAAAAATCCGTCATTGACAAAAATCTGTTAAAGACAGAAAATCAGTTAGTCAATTTTGACTCTAAAGACAAACACTCCGAATCAAAACCCAACTCTAATACAAATTATTAACGTAAAACCAAGAGTCATTCAAGCCAAGTACAAAGACACGAGACACTCATATAACGTGATTCACCCTCAAGGATTACAACTACGGTTGGAACGCTCGAGAAGGTTTACTGACAACTGAATACACAATGCACGCTTCCGAGTAGAAGCCTTAGAGTCAATTTATACCCAAAGCAAGCGACACACCTAGCTATAAATAGCTATAACTTGAAGTTAATTTTTAACTGGAGTTAACCTTAAAATCTACTATGTACAAAGAGTGTTCTCCTATACTATAAGAACATGATTGTTCAAATTCCATCACCTTGAGAGAAAAGTTATTATTTTTGTTTACAAGCAAATTTATTTGAAGCTTTAGGTTGCAATGCATACTTCTATATTTTTGACAAACTTGAGTATTCTCAATGGTTTTTTATTAGAGCAGCAGCCTCTCGTTGACTATAATGTTCTTGAGCAATAATGTGGTCAAATAACTACTCACCCTTGCAAAGCTTCATAACAAGATGCACGGCAACATTGTTCTAGTAGAAACTTTCCAGTGCGACAATATTTAGATGGGATGAAAGTTGATGCATGAGCGCAACTTCTTGGCGCATGATACTCAAATCAATAGCAGTACAAAGTTTGTGATTTGAGATAGATTTGCAAATCAAATGTTCTTATAACTTAACATCTTCTTGTAACTACACAAGTAGGTTATATGAAGTAGCCTTGTCAAACTTGTTGGCTTAGAATGTACTGAAAATCATGAAGGTTTTTATCCTACTTCAAGTTTTTGAGATCACAACTTTAAAGTTTAAGCATGATATGAGTATACATTGGTTTTTTTACTTTTCAAGTGTGATTTTGAAAGTCTCCAAGCACAATAATTTTCCATCAATCGTGACAAAAATGATCAAATAAATTCTACTTACACGTATTAAATATGTGTTTACACATTATGATTGATGCATTAGTTGGAGATCTATTTTGCAAAAATGTGTAGCTCAAGCCACAACAAAAGCTGAATATGTAATGGTAGCAACAGAGAAAACTATTCAATTAAATAGGCTTATCACTACGATGTGTTCTAAAACATGATGTTGTCCATCTTAATTTTGATAGTCAAAAGCGTCACATCTTGCTGCAAATCAAATAATGAATTGCAAAGTGAAACACATTGATATCATATAATGTTTAATCAAAAATGCAATTTTTGATAAAATAATGAAGTTAGTCAAGATTGACACTGAATTTAAAGATAACCAATACTTTGATAGAGGTTACTTTTTTCAGAGAATTACTTGATGGGATCCCATCAGAATGAATAAGTCTTGATGGAAGCCAATATGTTCTATTTTACCCAATGGGACCCTTACGACGGCAGTGTGGTCCACCGTCACTAATATTCTACTACGAGTTCTTGTAGTTGCTTTGAATCCGGGTTAGGAAAAGCACTACGGCTCTTTGTTAAAAAGTGACTTCTCCCTTCATGCACTTCACGGAACAAAATATACAACTTACGTGACCTTGGACAAGAGTTTTAGAAAAAGAAGTAACGAGTAAGTAGATAGGGTCCATACATTATAAATGTAAAGTCATTATGGGACTTGAGAAATTTGACTCTTGCAAGATGAAGATTGAGAGCGATAGAAAATCTGACTAACTTAACTTTGGAAAGAAATATATATTTTTCATTGAAATGAAAACAAAGCAGGTACAAGAACATAACTTAGGATGACACGTCCGAGTGTTCTTCCCATCAAGTAAATTTCTCTTACTTTTTAAGAGAGATTATGAAACATGAGTCATTGATCCATTAATGCACACTGCGCATGCTTTCAAACTCTTGATCTTCAGTAAATACATTTGTTAGTTTACATCACTTAATATGGGTGAAAACTGCAGAGGATTCCAATTTCAGACGCAAACCCGTGCCAAAATGGAAAACACACAGAAAAAGAGCCACGCGCCGCCACACACACGTGGCAAGCGAGGGGCACCGGAGGGCGGTGGACGGGTGCGAAGCCACGGTCCGGCGCAGACCAGCGAAAACAAGGACAACGAACCCGGGACGGGGCGGGTTAGAGCGCGCACTCCTGCACCCGGGGCGGTCAAGGCCCACACACCTGCGCACAACCACACCAGCCAGGGACGCCGCAAACAGAAAGCGCAAACCAGGGGGCAGAAAAAAGGTCTCACGTACCCATGCCCCACATGCATATCACCTATTCAGTACAAGTGGAGAGAGAGGAAGGGAAGAGTGAAGTGGAGGAGAGAGCGGTAGGTCCGACGTATCCTCCTTAGTGTCGAATTTCTTTGCTGGTGATGGGTCTCCTGAGTAACTTTTCGGTCCGGATCGCGAGGCTCGCTTCCAGCGAGTCACAATCCTTCAATGCCCTGGGCATCAGATTATCCTGTGTTACGGGGAGTATTTTCGGATGTGGAATATTTCAATCATCTTTTGTTATCCTGCATGGAGTGGCCTCCAATGAGTCATTCCGATCTTCCATGTTTCGGGCCTTTTCTGCGCGTTTTACCCCTTCTCGCTTCATCTGTTTTCAGTGAGACAGTAATCACGTAATTTTGGTGAAAACCTCAGAACAACAAGGAATCACATAATCTTTGAATCTTGTCTACTATCAGACCTTAAATGATTTTTCGAATCTGAATCACAAAGAGAGAAGTTAGAGCTGGTTAGCGAAAGTAAGAAATAAAATAAAAGATATTCAGAAATTACCACAAACCTCGTCTGTATGGGAAAAACTTGAAAGAAACGACTTTATCTTGAATTTCGAGGCAGCTACAATGACGAGCCCGAGGTGCCAGTAGTGGTGATTTCTACAGAGTCTACTGATACTGCGATTGTAATCAGATCGGTGTCTGGATGGGTTAATTATCAACTTTTTGGGTAAACTCTAATTACCGTGATTCATCATTAATCGTAATGAGGCTGGGTTTGCACTTATAGGAGCGTGGGGTTAGTTGCAGGAAGGAAACAGTCGCAAGTGCCCTATGTTTCGGATTTGAAGCAGCCCACTCGGTCGCTGTGAGCGAGGGTCGACTGCAGACGGTACGGATGCATAGGGGTAGGTAGGACCGTATCTGCGCAATAGTTGAGCTATGAAGCAGAGAGAGAGAGTTAGTGAGTGGATGCGGCAATCGAGTGCAGGCCAGGCCAGTCCAATCCAGTCGAGTCGAGTACAGTAAGTATGTAGGGCGGCTGGGGTCATGCAGCAGTGTCCCTGTCCTCGTGAGGAGGCAGTTGATCGATTTCTCCAGAGCCCAGAGAAGGAGGGCCACTTTTGCATGTGCAGAAGTCAGGAGTACCTTCTCGGTACGTTTGAGTACTTGCGTACCAGAGGAAGTACGTGGTCGGTACTTGATGCAGCAATCCCAATCCGCACACGCTGCTGGTGCTGCTGCTGCTGGTCTGCCATCGGACATTCAGAGCCACCAGCATTATCAGCAGCAGGCATGCTTCCTACCCACACTAGACTACACAGGGCAACGACGTCCGATGTCGACATCGCTGTCGTCCTCTACTCTACTCTACTTTCGGTGCCTCCATGGCCATGCCCCACCTTTATCCTTGTGTACTTACAGTTTGCGACTTTGGAATCTGTGGCCAAAGACAGACGAGATGCGCTCTGTACATTCTGTTTCCTTGCTGTCCACGGCACAGTCATCGACATGAATGCTGAGCGACGAATGCTTTCATTACAGCCCTCATCTGTGCGACAGGCTGCAGTCACATTCATGCACAGTCCGGGAATGGACTGACAAATAATTGCAATCCGAATGCCGATCCTGCATTATGGAATGGCGTTCAATGCTGGACTCAGGGAGGGAGGGAGGGAGAAAGAAAGGAAGTTGTGAGCTACTGCACAGACAGAATTATTTAAACGCTGCTACTTTGTCATGGTCCGATGGTTATGGTGTGTGAGCCACTCAAACTAGCACGAGGCCTGCGTGTGTTTGTGTGCCTGCCTGTCTGCCTTGTAAATGTGCTTGGCTGAGAAGGGATTGTTGTGGCATAGATTCATAACCTTGCCAGTTGTGGAGAGTCTTTCCGAGTTTCGGTGTTTTCCTTCACCGTTTCCCATAGCATCTGAGATCTTATCGGATTTCTGCCGTGATGAAGGCTCTCCAGCTTCCTCATTCTCGGACGCAGGTCTCCTTGCTCGTACTAATCCTGTTCTAGAGTTTTCGCAGTGTTCGGAGTCTGTTTTCTTCGTGTTGTGAGCTGATTTGTGAGCCGCCTGCATTGCAACCAATGCTCCAGACCACGTGATCTGCTTTTCAACCGAACCCGGAGCTAGCACAGATAAAGTCTCCATCTGATGAATGTTTAACGAGCGAAAGCTGTTTGATAAAAGAGCCAATCGCGACGCAATTTATTCCACCTTTATTTACATAAAAAGCTCTGCACATTATTTAAGCAGTCCCAGTGAGTGTGGTGTGCAGGGACAATGGTGGAAGTTAGCGGCCTCTACCCATTACTGAAGACGTAAAACAACCACCACGTAGCTAGCTGCTCCATCGCTCAAGTGAAGCAACAGTTGCAACAATGAAGGGTTTCCATGTGTTCTCATCCACTGAATCAGCTCGATCAGCTGTGACTGAAAGTGTGTGTCTTCCATTCCATGTCTTCAAGGAAATGCTCAATTTTAAGCAAAGAGCCTCCAGAGCCCCCCCATGGGAGGGTTGTATGATCGCCTGGGAGCTAGGTTCTTCCGTCAAAGCCTAAAAGCTCGGTTGCATGCTCTCCATGGCCTGAATTACAAACAATCCAAAGTGACTTTCGATTCTCCCTCCAAACTGGACGTCGTAATACCATATACAATCATGAACTAAATCGCCTGTTCCTTCTATATGATGATATTCAGGGGCTGCAACAAGACTGAAAACAGGTGCAAGTGCTTACCTGACTGATGGCCTCCATCTGAGATATCAAATTATCCAGCTCCGTCTTTGTGTACTCGGCAACAGCAATCTGGGCTTTCTCTTCCATGCTCTCCTTTCTGAAGTAGGGCACATTCTCCACCCTGACGGGGGCGCTAGAAACTGCCAGCTCCAGCCTCAAAAGTGGTCGATTCACCGTTGCCATTGTTGCACTGCACACGACGTACTGAAATGTTCTGGGTTTAGGGTTTCACCATCGAGTCACAGGTCAATTTATCCTAAGCTGCTTTCACGCATAAGAATGTCTCGATGCTCTTCGCAGTAAATTTCATTTTCGAGACAATCACACGGTATACTGTCATCAAATTTCAGAAAAGAATTGCTGAACCGGATACGGATGCTCATGAGCTAAGAGTCATGTGGGCTTCCCCGTCACTCCCCTATCAGATTACAGCAAATCGATGTATCAAGCGATCGAGTGAATTCAGCCCAAACAATGTCGATCACCAATGCCCGTGCTCGCCTACAGATGCAGTAAATTTGTGAACCCGTTCCGCAGCAAGGACTGATGAGTTCCTGATTCCAACCACGAGAACAGAATGGAAGGACATGAATTTGGCGAGTCTAACTGTACCCTGAGCTTCCAGTCGAAGTCCAGCAGCTGCTGGGCGGAAGTCACTACCGATTCAGATTCGTCATCATGGCCACCGGAATCACCAATTGCCATCTGAAACTTGTGCTTGATTGCTAGAGGGAGTGGAGTGTATGCAGCCCCAAAGTGCGTAGCCCTCGTATCCTACAGCACTCTGTTTAAAAACACGGGACGATAGGCCTGTTCTTCAAACGACGCACGTTTCCTCGAGATTTCTATGTGTTCAGTGCTGCTTGATATGGCGACAAAAAATTAGGGTATACCCCGAACATGTATGACGAACTTACCCAATTGCAGCAAGAACCTACATTCTGTATGTGATCCGAAATTTGGCATCTTGATCATTGTTGCAATACGGCAATATTCCCTCCATCCATTGCAGCATAATCTCAATATCAGAATCACCGATTTGTGAATTAATAAAGCTTCTCTGACAACGTGGATTTACAAGGGCGATGGAACTATTGACTTGAATCAGGAAGATGTTCTCGGAATCACACCAATTGTGTTGGAAAAGATAAAAGGAAAAGGTGTTCTCCCCCGGATGAGCAGTGAAGTTACAGAGAAGTGATTGAAAGTGATGTACCTCTATGGGCACGGAGAAACATGGATGCGCTTCCTGAGACTTCTGTCTCTCATCACTACTTTAAAGTGAAAAAGACATGAGACTTTATCCACTCCCCTTCCCTTCGATGCCCCTTTGGGCGTGAGATCATTTGTGAACGCCTTTTCAAACATGGACTCTTTCCCACTTCTTACATGTTGTTGGTCAGAGAGCCCAGGGTTTGTGGAATTAGAATATTCCGGAATCTGGTATCTGCCAAGGGCTAGCATGATCCGTTCACAAAAGGTCCATGCGTTTTCAGAACTTTCCATAATAGGCAACACTCCACGACAGACGTTCTTCAGTGAACAGGAAAGTCAAGCTTTTGAATTCACCTCGCAAGCCTAGCGAAGGCCCCACCGGCTCCTGGACCCATGCTCATTCAAATTTACGAGGCTAAGCTGTGCGCGTTGAGTCTTGCATTAGCGACTTGTCTGAAATCGAATTCGGACTTCAGAAAATTGGGACTGACGATTATTTCATTCAGGAGCAAAATGAGAAGACATTATTCAGAATAAAAGCATCAGGCCGTAAACGACAAGGGCAAACGCCACGTGGAGGTCAAATACAAACTGGTTTTATTGCATGATAGTAGTACATATTGCATCGTTCGAAGTTTTGGAACGATGATGCTCGGCAGTGATGGGGACTGGAGGCGATGGAAATACTCAACGCTTGCCTTCCACTGACTTATACAGCAGCCAGGCAGGACTCAACATTCAAGTTTCGCGAAGCACAGTTGAATATGAACAATAAATATGGGAGGAGCACCCATGGAGCACGGTTGTGCAGGTGCTGGTTGTGCCGCTGTTTAGGCATCCACATGACTCCACCGCTCATGATGACGCTGATCGCCCATCTCCATGTCTGCTTGCAATTTATTTACTTGTGGGGCATTTCTTGCAGCCCAAGCTTCCTCCACCGTTTGGCATCGGCATGGAGAATTTTCGACATCCACTAAGAATGTTACCCCGGGCACCTGGTTACTTGCACTGTAACAAAACCACCAGGCTTGAGTCTATCCTTCCTCATCAACTTGGCTCCCGATATCCTCATTTGAAGACAATGGAGCTCAGTGAAATTGTGAACACAAAGAACGGGTTCAAGCTCTGGAAAAACCAACGTTGTAATCAGTAAGTTGATAAGAGCGACGCTTTCAGTTCTGAACTTGAAAATTCTTTGCAAATGGTGATGGTATAGAGGAGTGCAGGTAACTCAAACAAACTCTCGCACGGAGTTCGATTGTAGACATACCTCTAACCGGTGTTCTGCATTCCAGCGGCAATTCCCTTCATGGTCAGGATGAGAGTGTCCTCGAGACCAGGAGGGTACTCGGTGGTCGTGTTGAGTCCCACCAACTCGGAAGACTGCTTTCCTGAGTTTTCTCCTTTAGGGGTTTCAGGATCACGAACATGGAAGCTCTGGTCACGGATTTTCTTCAGAGTGAAAGCTTGTTGGACATTGAGGGGTGTGATGTACGGTTCTCTGAGTCGGAGACGCTGTTTCAGAGTTGGGTTACCCTGAAGAACATCTTCGTGACCGGCAACCTGAACAAATCGAGGTGAGTTGTAGTTGAGTCATGCAGCTTTTGAACTTTTAAACGCGGAGACTTCAGTCAGCAGTTTGATCCTAACATGACAGTCTTTAATGTATTTTTCCAATTCAATTTCAGGTGTGAGTACCTTCAGAAGAAGCTCTCGCGTTTCCGCGTACATAACTCTCAGCTTCTCTCCCAAAGGCTTCAACTCGTCGGAAACAAGGAGTTCATCGTAAAGGGCAGCAATGCGGGGGTCGCCCTTTGCGAACACCATCTCGATCAGATCAATGGTGACTCGGAAAAAGGGCCATTCATTGTACATCTGTCTAAGCAACACAACGTTCTGGTTGCTCTTCTGGAAGGCAGCCTTGAATGCTCCACCAAATCCTAGCCACACGGGAAGATGGAACCGGGTCTGAGTCCAAGCAAAAATCCAGGGAATAGCTCGAAGACTCTCAATACCCCCGCTGGGTTTCCTCTTCGCTGGGCGACTTCCAATGTTCATGCGACCATACTCGGTTTCTGGGGTAGCCTGCAGAGAGAACACAAGAAACAGACCAGTGAGCTCAATGTTCCAAGGCTTCTCGATTATAGTAGGACATTGATAGGCCAAATTAGTCCGAAAGATATACTTACGTTTCTGAAGTAGTGTACAAATTGAGGGTGCTTGAATACGATGGATCTGTACTCTTCTGTCGATACTCTTGAAATCTCGTCCATGAGTTCACGCCATTCAGGCTTTGGGGAGATTGGAGGATGCATGCCGTGTTCTAGGGTGGCAGCAGTGAAACGCTGGAGTGTTCTGAAACACAAGTGCTCTTCACCAAAAGACTGCTCAATAACTTCTCCTTGGACTGTAACTCGGAGAGATCCATGGATGGTGTCTGGGGGCTGGGAAAGGATAGCCAAGTGAGTGGGACCTCCTCCTCGGCCAACGGTACCTCCACGTCCATGGAAGATGGTCAATTTGATACCAAACTGCTTGGCGACCTTTACCAAATCCTCTTGACATTTGAACATCGACCAGGCCGCAGCCAGTCTTCCTGCATCCTTTCCGGAGTCGGAGTATCCAATCATGACCTCCTGTTTGCCATTGATCCTGTTGAGGTACCAGTCGATGGAGAAAAGACGCCTCATTGCAGCTGGAGCTGCCTCAAGATCGTCAAGCCTCTCGAAAAGAGGCACTACACGCAATGGCTTTGCCACCTTGCACTCACGTTGCAGAAGTTCCACAGCCAACACGTCGGAAGGAGAAGTGGCCATCGAAATGACGTATGCTCCAAAGGAGTCCTGTGGCAACTCGGCAACAACCTTGAAGGTGTCCAGCACATCACGAATTTCGTCTGTCATTGGCAAGTCTGACCCAAAGAGTGGGCGCCTGCCCCGGAGCTCTGCCAAGAGCCAATCCTGCCTCTTTTCTTCGGTCCACTCCCTGTAAGAACCCATGCCCAAGTGGGTTGTGATGGCATCGAGGACATCTGTGTGTCGCTCTGACTCTTGTCGGATGTCCAATTTCACAAGGGATAATCCGAAGCACGAGACTTGTCTCATGAAGTCAAGAAGACTGCCGTCTGCGATGTTCTGGTCTCCAGTCTCGCACAGAGAGCGGTAGCATAACTCTAACGGTTCCAAAATCTGCAAAGGAAAAGGAAGGGTTTAGCCAGTCCGCCCGTCACGAACATTCAGCTTGTTGTGCAAGTCAAAAACTATTCATTGCCTTCGACCCGCAATAAGCAAATGTTCTCCCAAAGCGTCGAAGATGCACACAAATTTCTTACCATATCTGCAGAAGTAAACGTTTCCTCCTCAGTGATATCGGACTTTCCAGAAGAAAGCATCTGCCTCATCCTCTCGCGGGTGTTGTACAATCTGTCACGGACTTCTCCTAAAATGACTCGGAATGGCTCACTGGCTGGAATTTGCTTCCAAAATTCTGTGAATACATAGAATTATCTCAGAGTCAGAAGAAGCAAAGAGAAAACAAAAGACTACAATAAACTCGAAGATATCATATCTATTTGTCCTCATCGATTTATGTTGGCCTTAATTCTATTACCAATGTAATGTTTGGCATCTTTCTTGTTGAATGCCTCGAGCTGTACAGCTCTGGCACGGAGTTCGTCGGTACACCGCCACATGGAGAGCTGCACAGGCAAAACCTCTGAATTAGGATCCACGATCCAGGAAAAATTACACCCACTCCCCGCAACATAACATTAGAATGATTTTCTGCTCATCCTATTTTCTATAGTTAAAGGAAGAGAGTGAGAGAATAATGGGTACCTCAAACATCAAATCTTCCATCTGAGCGAAGTACAAGTTGGATGCCATAAGACGGGCCAACAGACACACATCCCTCGTAACCTCGGGAGTGACTCTGGGATTCCCTGTATGTGTACAGATTCTCGGTTAGAGCCAGGGTAAGCTAGACGTTTTTCAAATTAAATGTAAACTGAATTTGAGATTTTATGAATCAATCTAGGGATTCATCCATGGCTGTGAAGACTGACCATCTCTGTCCCCTCCCATCCACGAGGAGAACTGAATGAGAGGTACATTATACGGCAAGCGCTCGTCGACGCCGATAGACTTCAGTGCAGTGTCCACTCGACGTAAAAATTTCGGTAAGCCCTTCCATATTGTTTCATGGAAGTAGCTCATACCGGCACGCATTTCATCCTGGGGTGTCGGCGGTGTTCGACGAATTTCATCTGTTCTAAAGGCGGCTTGAATCTGTCAGACATAGGTAAGCACCGCACTCGTTATAAGAACGTGAGATTAGAAAATGACCTCCCAGTTACATGAGCTGGCTGAACAAGATGGAAACAGATTTGAGATGAAGATTTTGCGATGTAAAACACAGAAAAGAATCCGACAGCTAAAGAGCCTTCCCGGTATAAACGATTTTAGTTCGAAAATTGGAAAGCATGTGCAGAGGATGACAGAAGCATGACACGCAATTCACAACCAAGTAATAAATCTCTCACTAAAGCGCCGTTCGGATAAGCTTCAACCATGTTGCAAGACTGACGACTGATTGATGCGATGAACCAAACGATGAATACGTGTCGTTATAACCTTTGCGCACGTAGACGCAGTACGTCGCCGTCTCATAGCTCAACAGACAGAGAGAGGACAGGGGTAACATGAGAGTCCTGGACAATCTTGAAACGGAATTCCAAAAGGCTCATTGCCAGTACTCATCTTCCATCTAGTCACCACGTTGAATCTACATACCTCTCGTTGAAGTGCTTCATCAAGCTCCTGTTTTTCATCGTTTGTGATGTCCTTCTGGTACAGCTGAGAAAGACAGTTTCGGATACTGCAGGAGAGATAAATGGTCAGTGAAATTGAAGAAGCGAGGCCAATGGAGGTTCTTAGTAAACCTCAATAACCTCGTCTGGATACATCTGCCAGAAAATCCAAGACTGAAACGACCTTGAACTCCAGTCAAGGTTACATTTCCTTCTGATAAACTGTACAAGATTGATGTCAATCTGCTGCTTCGAGAGACCCACTGCTGAGGACTCCGGTAGAATTCTAATTCCGATTTGAGACTTGTGAACCGAGACAGCGACAAGAATGAACATCAGAGAGAGAAAGATCAACGCATCTTACCGAGAAAATTTCTGCAACAACGAGCGCCGGACAGACTGGGTAGGGTGGGCGGTCAGGACTAGGTCGACTGTTTGGTTTTTCAGGGCTTCAAATATCTCAATGGGAGACTTGCCAAGCTGGTGAACAAGTCTGTCGAAGGTCTCTTCAATGTCGGATTCAGTCAATGCGCTGTTCTCGTCGGCGAGGTCACCTCTTTTCTGCTTGGCTCGTCGACGATATGCGATTTGAACCTCCTCGGCAAGGTTGCTCAGATTGAGCATGTGAGAGAAAGAACTAGCTACAACGATAGAATCACCCGGGTCAAGAGAGTCAAGCACATCCTTCAGCTCGCCGAGTTTCTCCATGTCACCTTGTCCGTCAGTCTTTCCATACTGTCCAGCAAGCTCGTAACATTTTTGAACCTGAGGAGAATCAGCAGAGCGGCCATTCAGTATTTGCAATCTGACTCCACGGAGCAAGATCACCACTCAATCTTCTTACTCGAGTTTTGTTCAAAGTAGACTACTTCAGAACCCCCTTCGCATCCACAGCCGAATTCAAGTGATCCCGTGATGCCCAAATAAGTCAAAGAAAAACCCAAAGTCTGAGTTTGAGCTGTCCAGATCATACCTCCGCAAAAGTCTAGTAATATTAGTAATTCAAGTAGTTATGTCGGGAGATTCGATCGTGGAGGAATCGGGAATCTAGACAATTCACAAGGCTCGACGGCGGAACACTCTAGAATAAAACTAGGAATAGATCGTGTGTTCCGTCGGGTTTTGAGGCTCAGATAATGAATTGCAAGATTGTAAGAGAGGAACACATGGTGCACGGATGATTCGATATGTAAGAATGAGTAGCTTACTAAGTTGTGCGCATGAAGAACATGCAATTGGGTGTGCGGGGCAAATCTTGACCTGTCAAAATTCCTCTACGACTCTGGCAAAAACCTCAATTCCAGATACGGGAGAAAAGTTGTACCGTCTCTTTGACGTCTTCTCCGTGAAGATCCTGAAGAATATCGAGAAATCTGTCGAGAAGGAGTGCATCGTATTCAATAAGCTTATCATCTTCGGATACTTTTCGGGGAGCAAGAAGGCGCATCTGTGCATCTATGGACGCCATCTTCTCGAGTGAGTGAGAGTGACTGGTAAATCCATGATTCGCCATCGGTCTTAAAAACTCTGCAATCGAGGGCTGTTCGCGAACTTTTAGGTTGCTCCGCCTGTGTGGTTCAGTTCCCCACTTCCCTGCCCCACCGCTGTTCTTCGGATGGATGCGGTCCGTGCCAAATTCCAATGGGACCCGCCGTTCTCGCTCGTGTATCGGCAACACTCCACGCTCGTCGCTGGCCTCAGCGAAGGTGAACCCTAGCGTTCGCAGACGGGGAGAGAAGCAGCAGCGGCCTGACTTTCCTCCTAGCGCAAGCAAGCGCTGAATCTTGTGTCCTGCTGATGGAGCAATGATGTTCGGATGCCTGAACAATGTGAATCCTAGGAGGGTTCTATACCCGCGGCAAATCGGATGCCACCTGCTCGACACTTTTCACCAGTGAGCCCGATCGCTGGAACCAAGCGCGCGCACAGCAGCACAGGCGCCACACCACACTCGCTCTCACTCTCTCTCTCCCCTCCCCACTCCTCGTCCTCGCCTCGTCCTCGTCCTCGAGACCTTCTCGGACGACTACTGCCACATGCTCCAAAACAAAACAAAACAGCGACGAATCCACTGAGCGATATGCCACACTCCACACTCTACAGCCAGCCACAGCTCTGACCTTCCTTTCCACAATTACCACCTCGCCCACTCCGCTTAAAATACTCTCGCCCCCACTACGCGACTTCCCCCGCCCTCGGCACAATCCAGCGCCATCCGACTCGTCCCGCCCCCGACACTTTCCTTCCGCTGCCTCTCCGTGCTCGCTAAAGATCCCCCGCCACTAACTCGCCACTCCACCACTCGCTGCCTCCTCCGCTCCGGGCATCCCCTCTCCCTCTCCTCCTCCCGCGGCCCCTCGAAATGACCTCCCATCCCCAGAAACGACAAAACCCTCTCTCTCCCTGTCTCTCTCGTCACCGGCGCCAGAGCCAGATGAGCCGAAGACCAACCGCCTCCGTCGGTCAACACCTCGATCCCTCGATCCGCAGCTCTCGTCAGAGGATTAACCACGCACATCCGCAGGCATCGTCGCAGTCGACATCGACGTTGATGTTGACGTCGTTGCTGCGGCTGTGCTTCTTGGGGCTCTCCTCTCCCGAACCCTCCCCCGAAGGACGGACGGACGGACGGCTCCGCAGTCGCAGGGAAGGATCGTCTGTCGGGTCGTACTGGCTCCAGCGGAGACTGAGCCCGCTCCCTCTCGGGAGTCGAGACTCGCGATCCATCGTGGATTTGGACGGGAGTCGGAAACCGGTGCAGGGAGGAAGAACCGGAGCGAAGGTGGGAGGGCTGGAGTGACTCGATCGGACCCGAGCTCCTGACTCTCCTGACCTGACCTGACCCGACCTCAATGACTGGCTGGGCTTTACCCGAACCCCGATCCGACGTTGACTGACGGACTCGGACGTTCCGGATCCGCGGGACTTGCTATTATAAGCTCGAATCAATGTTCATTCTGGGATCTCGAAATGGGCCGGGAGTGGCCTCGGGCTCTTGACGCGTGGCACCTACCGTCTCCTCGCAAGAGCTAGCAGCTTCGGGAAATACATTGAGGTCGCCTTCCTTCGGAACCGATGTGCTGACAACCTCCCGCTCTCGACCCGTCGGATCTTGTCACGGCCCAGGGACCCCGGGGACCGGACTCTCGGCTGTCCCCATCCTCGAGCGCAACCAGCCATGGCTGGAATCTGGAACTTGGATCTCTCGGTTCTGGAAGATTCTTTCGACGACTTTTCAATCCAAAAACCTCGGCCTTAACCTTATGGCCTTTTTCTTTACCTTAAACTTTGGCACTGTGATTCCCTAAGTGCACAACCCGTCAAACCGAAGAATATATATATATATATATATAATATTTCATTCCTTATTGATTAATTGGGGGCTCCGAAGGGTTGGATTAAAAAAAATCCATGACATCAAATCTATAAACTCTGCTAATTTTTTTCTGCGATGATTTTTCCTGACGCAATAATTTCGCCCTAAATCAACGTAGTCTGCCCCTTAAGTAAAAACAGCAATTCCACATGACCGTAAGAAGTAAGGACATTCACACCACTTTAATCATTACGCTTTTCTTAAACCCCAGAGCCCAACATTGGGTGCCCAACATTGGGTGCTTTTGGGTGACATTATTTTTCATGGATGGTTATTATTTCATGGTGGTTTTGGATGGTTCTAGTCATGGATGGTACGAACCCATGCCCATCAATACCTGCTTGATACCCAGACCATAACTATCAGGAGTCTGGGTACAGATTTGAAGTAAAATGTTGGACTCTGCTTCATACTGAGGAAACAGGCCTCCCCTCCCAAATACAGCTCAACCTTATATCAACCTCGCGTTAGGGTTACTTTGTCCCCCGTTTAGTTGGCCGGTCCGATCCAATGGAGCACTGAGCACTTGGCAGTACGCAGTTTTTGTCCAGACATAGATGACCTGATCCCGGGAAATTCATCCGAGTAGAAATTCCCGGAGAGTAACTGACTTATATCACCGAGGTTATAATTATTGCCCAACAATGATGAGATGCTACCATGCACTCGAAAAGCATTTTCGGCCTATCAGAGAAAAGTCCGCAGGGTCTTGCAGGCGAACCCCGTCAGCTATAAAGTAGAACGTGGAGGCATATTCTGGGGCATCTAATAAGGTCCGCTGGTAAAAGAAAAGAATACTGGCCGGGAAGAGGGTCATGATCATGACTGCGGTAGGGCAAGTATTCTCCTCCGTACGGCCGCAAAAAGGACACTGCCAGTCCGGAACCATCGTCAGTCCTTCGTTTATTCGATGTCGTTACAGGACCATTGTTAGGCCTCTGGAAAATGGGCCTCATTTTTGTCTCTCCCCTCACATTCCTCGCTATGGCAGCAATATTTGATGGCGTTAGCAAACTCGGCTCTTTGCACGCCATGTTCCAAGCCCCCACCATCACCCGAACCCTTATCGGGATTTGGAGCCTCCATATGAGCTAAACCTCCCGGTACAGGATTTACGTCTACTAATAATGGAGCTCTAGCCAACTTCCGGGGCGAGCTTATCCTAGGTACCCGTTACAGAAAGTCCCCCCCACACTTCACAAGACCGCGGGCTTATCAATGATCGATGGAAGACAAAGCGATGAGATTAGGTTACCTGCAAGGTTGTGTATGCTCCATCACATTCCTTGTTCTCTTTTTCTTCTTTGGTAGAGGAAACAGCCACTTGCAAGTAAAATTAATTGGTCTGAAATTTCAAATTTGAAAGTTAGTAAAACAATGATTTGAAATGAAAATATATTTTTTAATTTTTAATTAATGTTTTTTAAAAGATAGAAAAACTGGAAGATAATTTTTCTGTCTTTTATCTTTATATGGATGAAATTTAATCAAAAATGACTTTCGAAAATATCAAAATTCTGATGAAAAATATTTCATCCCTACAATTTCCTTCATATATATCCACATTGAAAATCATATAAATTAAATCCCAAAAAAATTTCAATATTTTAAAAATATATTTTTACGATGATAGTTATACACACAGTTGTCATTGCAGTTGGAAAAATTATCAACTGTGTTCATGCAACAATAGATTATCTTGTTTCAATGATGTTCTGAATAAGAAGAATGATTTGTATGAGTATGATTGTTACATAAATAATAACTATATTCTTATGTGCATAAAGTTTGATATAAATTTTTTTAAACATAAATATTAAATGACTTCATATATGTTTATGAATAATCATTAGAATTATAACCTAGATAGAATATAGATGTAAAAACTATCACTAATTCATGTGTGATCATTATCTGCAAATACTATTGCTTATGAATATGCGATAGATTTTGAGAAAAATGAAAGTAGTTAAAAAAATTTGATTAAAACTGAAGAGTTAAAAACTTCAAGATTATGCAACACTCAACATATTTATAATGAGTAGTCAAAAAAATATTTCGAAGTTGTCTTATTTGCAAGTCATGAGCAGTTTGTGACGTATCACAAATAATTCTGGAGTATTGCAATGCAATTTTTCAACTGCAAGATGAAGATGTATAAAAGAATTGTGATAAAATTAGTTACACTTAAAGTAGCAATCATAATTTGATCTATGCTATTAAATAGTATTTTCTTATTCTAGACTTTTTAATGTGAAACTATCTTGAAATAATTTCAGACAAATTACTGATAATCGTTATGTCAAGGCTGTATAAACTTCAAACAACCTTGCTATTGTTTGGCTTGGGACGTCATTCAAAATTTATTTATAATTATTATTTAGCTAACTTAAATATTACTATACAAATATTTGAACCTAAAAGAAGTTAGAAATCAATTCAAATTTTAATTAACTATAATGAGTTAAGAATAATATTCTGGTTAAACCTCTTATGTAGCGAGCATTATATTAGATAGCTAGCATACACTTTCTCGAACATAAAATTAAGACTCATAGATAGTAATTGACTCATTGTGTTGCCTAGAAGTAATCTTGCGGAGACCAAACATGTATTGTTGCGGTTATTGTTCAAAATAAATAAATAAATTATAATATCAGATTTTATGTTATTCCAAACGTATAGATTGGTGACTCATAGATTTTTTTAGTTTCAATTAGACAAATTTTTTTACAATTAAATCGTAAATTATGATTGATAAAATTCAAGATTCACTTCTAATCCATGAAAAATTTTTATAATAAATCGAAAATTTATTTAATCTATGTTAAAATCAAATCATCTTTACATTCTTTTAAACTTACAACAATTTTATAATTCACGAGAAATAAATGATAAAAATCAACTAAACATATTATTATGTTTTGATAAGCTATTTCAAATCTTGGTAAAAAAATATATTCTATCATATGTGCACAACTTCATCTCTACCAATGATGATTTATGATCATATGAAAGGATGCAGGATTTTCTTCACATTTATTTGCAATGGCAAAAATATGAATATGATATCTTGTAGAAATTTTTATAGTGATTTTTTACCTATTGGAACATTTGTAATGAATAATTTCCATATTTGTCACATGTTCATCTGCCTCTTGAACCTTAAAAGCTTACCTTTTGTTTCAAGTATTATTGCACATGTATAATTTTAACATTGTTTATTTGTCATTTTTTCAATTAAGAATCTATATACAAAAAATCAGCATTTGGAAAATTCCAACAAATATATAATTTGACAAAATATGTAACTTTTTCTATATTTTGAGCTGTTAGTTCATCAGCTTCAATTTCGATAATTGATACACAATTATTTTTTGAAATTTCAAGAATTTTACTATTTTGATTCATATTGGAACCTTGCAAGTTAAAAGTTACAGCATGATAATCGTTGGAGATAATGTGAATTATTAGATTCAAGTACATATGGCGATATGCTATTGAATTGTAAAAAGCTAATAATACATTGTTATATCTCAGTTGAAAAATTTTGCAGTTGTCATATTTCATAATACTTGATATGTTCATGCTATGCTTGATATAGATTAATTTCTGGTTTATTTTTTGTTCATCTAAATGTTGTGTATGAATTTTTCTCACAAGTGTAGTATTTTCTTTGCAGAAATATTTTTCATATACAATCTATCTCATTGAATATCACCTGTATTAAAGCTTCATAATCAGTTTTGTTGTCTGATTGATCTTCAAATGATTCTATGTAGTAAAAGGATTTTTTATTTTTAATTAAATATATTTTGATTTTTAATAAGGAATAAGTCTATTTATTTATTTATTTATTTAGAACTCCTTAATGTTAAAAA